GAAACACCTTGCCTTGAAAACTGCAGGGACTTGTCCAGGCAGTCGCCACAGAATCGGTAACAACTGAGTGCAGCTAAAAAAAAAAAAGCCATTATAAATGAAATTTGTTTGTTTATTTATTTTATTTCTGACCAGTCAGATGAAAGGGCTTCAGACTGCTTACTATATGATAAGCAATAAAAACAATTAAAACAAATTAAAACATTAAAAATTGATTGATTGACTGTGTGCCATCAAATCATTGTCAGATCTTAGCAACCACACAGATAGATTTTTCTCCATGATGATCTGTTCCTAACCTGGTCTTTTAAGTCTTCCATTGATAAAACATTAAAAATACAGTAGCAATATTGTTAGTTAAAAGGCATAAAACTGGGGGGGGGGAAGAAACACCAAACTAAAAATGGTCAGCAAAAACATATGACCCCAAAGATGTGAGGGGGGAAAAAAAAGGTCTTTGTCGCTTTCCTGAAGTCAACAAGTGAGGGTGGCCGTCTAAACCTTAGGGACAAGCTATTCCATAGGACTGGGCGGCCAGAGAAAAACGCTGCTTCCCTGCTTCCACTCCCCTGATTTTCTTGCTAGGATGGGGGGGCAGGATTAGGAAGTATCCCTTCCTCATTTGAACTCACTGGGCAGACGTTGTCTGCTCAGAGCAGATAATCTCAAATGCTACATAAAGTGTAAAGATGTTCTAAATCTGTAAAGATTCCATAATGGGTATTTTCTGGGATTGGGTTAAATTAAAAATACAGGGTTTAGGGTTTTATCCCATCATTCTGCTAGGATAAAAATAGAAAATGTTTCAGTATTTTCAGGATTTCTTCTACTACTATGTGCTGAACCCTGAATACAGCTGTACAGAAAATCCTTTTAGAGAAATTAAGTATATATTAGATGATGATTTGATTTTTTTTTCCCCTAATGAAGATGAGCTTATCAAAAATCATTGATAGGAAAGCTGTGCACCTGTCAAATGATAAGGAATTTAAGAATATATTAATAAATAAACTTTAATAACATTTTAAAAATATTGCTGCTTTTTGCCGGTGGTACAGTGTTTGTGGATCCTTGCATCAAGTGCATGTATGCATAGGGTGATCTCTTGAGATTGCAGCATGGGCTGTTTTCAGATATAATGCTAATTCTTAGCTTCTCTGGGCTTCTTCTCTTTCTTTTAGCAGCATGGTTCAAAGAAGAAACATAAGCCCTCTTACTTTAGATCAGCGTTTCTTAAACTTTTTTCTCACAGGACCCCTTCCCACTTTTATTAATTATGGAAGACCCCCAAAGAGCTTTTGTTTGGATGGGTTATATTTATCTATATTTACCATACTAAAAATTAAAATTGACTCATTTGCTGCTACTAACGCTTCTCACAATTGTTTGATGGGATTTTAATGTTGCATTATTTTTCAACATAGGCTGGTAAATAATTTTGATCTTGGAGGACCCCCCAGGGGTGCTAGGACTGCACTTTAAGAAACACTGCTTTAGATGAACTGCAGTTTTATTTATTATACAGTTTTTAGTGCTGTGGTTTAGCTATGTTTAAGGAAAAGAAAGTGTTTTCATAAACTTGATTTGACATCATGGGTGTCTCAGGGAGGGGGCAAATGATGACATGTCCATAATCATGTCATCACACTAATGATACAGTTTATATACTTGAGTCAGATGTCATGATATGACTGACAAATTACATAAATGTGTCATTTGTTCTATGACATGATACACCTGTTGTTATTTTGACATTGGGGTGGCTTGTTACAGATGCTGCTGTTTAATATTGGTACATTTCAATTAGCTATAGTGTGTTCATAGTGCAAAGTGCAATTATTGTAAAGCAGGAAGGAAAGCTTTCTTTCTTGTGACTGAATGAGCATGGAGAGAGGCTAGAAAAATGACTGATAGGATCTGCCATGACAGATTTAAACTAACATTGATTAGTATAATTTGAAAATACAGCTAGAAATATGCAAGCAGATTTCCATTCACTGAAGTGGGACTGTCTGTGTGATTTTCCCATTCTATTCTGGATGATTGCCTTATCCAACTTCCTAAGAATTATTTGGGGGAGTTGCATGGGAGGGTAAAGGAACAAAAAGAAATTTGTTTCATTTTTGAGTTCTTTTCTACCAATGGAATGATACTAGTGCATGTTCTCTATATGAAATACTATATCCTATATTTTTTACCACATTTGAATAATTTTCAGCCATTTAATGTATATTCTTAAGATAGGGGTGCGTTTGTGTATGCATGTATGTATAGGGGAACATGTTATGGAATAAAATAATTTCCCATTTTCTTTTGAATTTTAACAAAAGAATACTCTCACTGGGCGAAAGCAATAGTTTTGTATTAGAAATCTCAGAGAAAATTGATAAACATCTAGTTGAGTGAAATTGTTACTCTGATGGCCTTTTTGTTCCAAAACAATAGGAAATTCTGAGGTCATGTTTTAAATGATTTATAATGGAATCTTTACATTCATCATACTCTACTTTTGTTGGTCTTATAGATTGCAACTGTCAGTTTAATGATTACTTATGTATGGAAAGGAAACTGTGATTTTTTCCTTACTGTGCATTGCAAGTTGAATCATAGATATAAAATGTAATGATGGCTTTAAAATAGTTGTTTATATCTTACATCAGCATCTTGGCTAACTTATATTTGATTTGGAATACCATGTTTGGATCTAGTCTGCTATGAAACTAAATATTATTGCTTAGATGGAGCTGACATTCTTGATTTCTTTTGGAATGGTATTAATAAAGGTTTCACCGGACATTGAAATTATGCTGACTCGTGGGTATGTGGGAACAGAGGGTAAAGCTATACATGAAAGAAGAATTCTGCATCTGTCTTTCTACTGCTTCATAGTAAAAAAAATGAATGGGGGTAGTAATAATGTCAGCTGCAAAATAAGCAATTTCAGTCTTAGTTTTTTTTATTGAGAATCAAGAAAATAGAGCTTCACTTTGTTCAGGTTGGTAGGAACCTTTTTCCATTGTTCTTTTTAGTAAGAAAAATGCAAAACAATTTATAGGAAAACTGTTAATACTTGTTTCATTATAAAAATTGGATCATGTCTTTTTTGTAGAAACTGGTTTCATTTGCTGATGAACTTTGAGATTATATCAGTCTTTCCCAAACCTAGTGTCTTCTGGTTATCTTGGACTATAACTTTTACTGTCACCACATCTGGAGGGTACTGGCTTGGGAAGAATCCTTCTAGATGTCTACACGCTGTATAACTGCAAACATTTTGCCACAAGAACGTTCTTTTTCTTTAATTTATAATCTGATATGACCATTTTTAAATGTTTCAGTGGAGTGTCCTGTCTGTGCGGTTCCTGTTCAAGAACTACATATAAATAAGCACCTTGATGGTTGCCTGACAAGAGATGAGAAGAAAGACAGTCTCCGAAGGTGAGTGTATGAGTTCTATTGAATGTTATCCATACTTATTTTAGCAAGAAACAGTACCAGATTGGGTCAGTTTTTCTTTTATCTAATGACCAGTGAATAATGTTTTTAGATATAAAAACGATATTAATACATTGACTGTCATCCATAAAGCAACAGTTTATTCAGAGTTGTTATGATTTATTGGATAAAGGGGAGCCCTTCCCTCTTTAGTAGGTAACCAGAAAATAGTTGAACCAATGTTAGGGCCTCTTCACTAATATTTGTTACTAGGTAATTTTTTTTTAGCTAGACTTCCATCAAGGAGGCAGCTGAGGGTTCACTCACTTTCTTTTAGTCCTTTGTAGATGCTGTTTTTGTTTCATCTAGAGGTCTGATGTTATTATTTGTAATATTCTCCAAATATGATTTTGAGTAATTACTCATCCTGTGCATAGCAGAATGATACAGTTGGATCTTTGGAAGAACATGATTGGCATATCTTTCTCTCTTTCACAATATCAGTAGTCCATACAAATATAAATGAAGCATGGTGCAAGGGGACTAGCAGGTAGTACATAATTGCTGCAAAGCCTCACCAAATACATCCAAGGCAGAGTAAGTTGAAAGGGGAGAAAAGATTGATTTTTCTGGGGCTGTGCAACAGATCATGAGTTCTGGAAGAGGGTTGCTGTTTCCAGTCGGATAATTCTTTGCATTTGATTGCAGACAGCTCCTAAATCATTTTCAATCTAATGTTCCTGCATTCATGAATAAAGGGAGGAATTTAGTAAGTTACTGCATAGAGCAGCCTTTCTTAAGTTGTGTTCTAGAGAACCCTTGTGTTCTGCAAGAGGTCACTAAACTGCAAGAAATAAACATTATTTTTAAACTTATGCTGTGCAATGCTGGAGCTTGGAGTGGTGAGAATTTTTACGTGCTATGGCTCAGCTGCTGGCCTGCTGCTTTGCTCTTGTAAATATTGTAAAACATGGATTTGTGGTTTTTATGCAGGGGTTCCCTGAGACCTGAAAATTAATTCAAGGGTTCCTCCAGGGTAAAAAGGTTGAGAAAGGCTGGCTAGAGCAACAGAGTCATATATGGGGCATAACTATGAGTCACCCAAGCAACTGTCTGAATAGCAGTAGATGCATGCAAACTTACTCAGAAAGGTCAACAAGCAAGGGAGCCTTTTTTAAAAAAAGAAATGTTTTCTCATTTATAAGCTATCTGGAAATTCTTTGTACTTTTGATCAAAATCCAATCAAACGCAGACAATTTTTTTCAGTTGTGATATGCCTACATTACTTACACATTAAAACTCTTAATGTTTAGCTAAGGGCTACTCTAGTTTAATTGCCCTTCATGTTTACCTATAATACAATAAGGACCATCATTAACGAGGTTTCTTTTTTTCATTAGATTAGTGATCTTAAATTCTTTTTTGTTGTTGCCTCTTGCTATAGTCTACAAAGGGATTATTTTTTCCCTTCTAGCAGACCTCTTCTAAGGATTCCCAGATAGATAGATAGATAGATAGATAGATAGATAGATAGATAGATAGATAGATAGATAGAAAGATAGACTATGAATTAATAGGCTGTCACCAGTTAAACTGAACATCTTGACAAAGCATAGTCACATAGACTTTTCTGTGAACAATAAGCCCATAGCTGTGAGCTAAATGTGGAAATAGAATAGGGTTATCACTTGAAGAGGATACTGCCAAGGAATGCCAAAGTTGTGACATAGGATGGTAAATCAAAACAACATTGTGGAAGAAGCAGTAGCAAGTCCTGTTACCAAGAATACTATCTTGATCAGTTTGTGAGGCTGCCAAGAATGGAAGGAGACATTCCTAGACTAGAAATGCACAAAATAGAACTCAAAATACTGTACCCCCAACATTCTGGAAGAAACAGAACTCCCTAGCTTTTGGATGTTTCAGCCATGGGAAATACAAGTTCTTGAGCTGCAAGAATATGAGTTGCCAGTAGACAGCTAGAAAGAGACAACTTCCAATCTTAACTGCTAAAACAGAACGGAACACCTAAAACATTTTGTCTAGAACTACATTGCAGCCTTTACCTGGAATAAAATACACAAAACACACACACAAACCATCAGATACCAACTGTTCTGGGCACAGAATGATTTGGGCATGAACCATGTTGTACATCCCTAAATCAAACATATGTGGAAGTTTTGTCCAATCAGACATTATGCTTCACCTCTGATATTGGAAGTCTAGGCAGCAAACCAGAAAATTATTTTAAGCCTCAACCTGTTTTCTTAACAATACTACACTGTACTGATAAAGGGGCTGGACAGTTTTAACTGAATAGGGAATTTTAACAAAAGTGTTATGTCCGAAGTGTACACTGGGGAAGAAAAGATGAGCTGTGGTCTGTTTTGGCTTTACTTATTTACCATGAACCATATAAAGATGTAAGAGTTTATCATACTTGAATTATTAACTTAATGCTATTGTACCAATAGAAGAGAATATATACAGCTCAGGGTTGCATTGTGGAGTCCTTGGGTTCTCTGAGCTTGGTTGTTTTCTTGCAGACGTTTCAG